CGCTGCCGGTTTGTGCGGAGGTCCGTCCCCCCCCCTCCCCGTCGGTAGGGCACACCGCCCCTCGGAGCTGGCCCTGGGCGAGTGACCCCGTCCCTGGCCGGGATATTGAGCCCTGGCACCCTGTGCAGCATCGAGCTGCTGGGCACTGCTGGCAACAGGCACTAGATCCACTTGGCAGGGCCCTCGGAGGGAGAAGGAATCCCAGATCCCCCATCCCAAACTCCCTGGAAGAAATCCCAGGTTCCCTGGAAAGCGATGACCCCGCTCTGCTCGTTCCCTGCCGACGTGGAGGTTGGTTTTGGGGAAAGGTCTTCTTACCCCCAGTGCCTGTCCTCTGGGGGCAGCTCCCCACACGACCTGGCTGCCCCACGGCACGTAGCACCCACCTCCCCGAGGGTGCCAGCAGCTCCCTGGGTCAGCAGAGTGCTTTTCTCATTCACAGAAGGACGAGCGAGACAGGGATTTTCAATTTAGCAAAGGAGAGGATGATGTCCGCAGCCATGGCCTGGGACAGCCTGCCCTTCCTCTGGGGTGGCAGCACAGAAAGCTTTGGCATTGCCAATCCTGCTTCTAACCTGGAAGGGTTCATTGTGCCCTGGGGAGGTTTCAGCTCTGTGTTCACCTTGCTCTCAGTTCCTGCTGTGACACAGCAGCGTGGCATCTGGCAGGGGGTCCCTTAATTTTGGCCCTGCGAGTGATGGGCTGTGACTTGAGGTTGGCTACAAGGAGGCTTTTTGAAAGAGCGGTCTCGGCCTGGGCAGGAGGTGAGGGAGCACCAGGGATCAAGGGAGCGCAACGCTCAATTACATCTGGCCTCTGCTGAAGGTTTTCTGTGCCAAACCAGACCTGGCTGGGAGCCCCCAGCTGGTGTGGAGTCCTTGCTGGGAGGAGCTGTGTTGTGGCTTCCTCGTTATCCTTCCTGAGCGACACGTGTGCTGGGCTGGCAAGTGGGACCTGCTCTGCTCCCACACCAACCTCTGTTTATGTTTTTCACTTCATCCCATCCAGCTGGGCTGACTGAGTCACTTCCCTGGGAGTTTGCTGGTAGCAGGGCTCGGAGGAGGGCGGAGAGTCAGCCCAGATAGACTTGGGGTACCATGAGGAGGTTGGGAGGAACTGTTAGAAGCAGAGGTGAGACCCCCGTTGTGTTTGTTTGGCCTCTGTTCCATCCCAACCTTTTCCTGGCCTGCGGATGCACAAGCTTCAAGCTCCAACAGGGTAGGTTTAGACTGAACATTAGGAAAGAATTTTTCACAGAAAGAGTGGTCAGACACTGGAACAGGCTGCCCAGGGAGGTGGTTGAGTCACCATCCCTGGCTGTGTTTAAGAACCGTTTAGATGTGGTGTTGGAGGATATGGTGTAGGGGAGGACTTTGTAGAGTAGGGTAGATGGTTGGACTCGATGATCCCAAGGGTCTCTTCCAATCTAGACAATTCTATGATTCTATGATTCTATGATAGCCCAGCATAAGGGTAGTTAAGCCAAGCTGGAGACCAGCACTCCTACAACATTGCGTGAGGGGAACTAAAAGCCCCAGGCTGAGCTTAAATAGAATCCCTGGGCCTATGGGCTGGAGTGGTGGAGGCTCCAGGAGAGGCCAGTTAGGGCCACTAAGGTTTATTAGTGCCCCCCAGGGCCCTGGCAAGCTGCTGGTCGGTGGGGAAATTAGTAGGTAGGCTTGATCTTATGGCGACTGAGATCTAGGTCCTCTTTATTAGGGATTGTGGACAGTTTCCAAGATGTGAAATGCTCAGACTGTTCTCTGTCTTCTTCACAGTCTGGTTGCAGATGTGGGAAGAGCATCATTTGTAGGAGCGTGTGCTGAGACAGAGCTTTACACCCCCAGGATGTCCAGCAGAACCAGCGACCTAGGAGCACAGCAACAGTAAGGGTCCCAAACCAGTAACCTTCTTGTGTGAAGTTTTCCTGTCTGCAGAGTGGCCGTGGTGGGGCTGAACAGCAGCACAGCGTGGGGCTGGGGTGGTGCTATCTGCTGTAGCTCAGCAGTAAAGGGGACAACTGCTCCACTGTCAAGGAGTTGTCAAAGGGACAACTCATGGCACCCTGGGGTGCATCAAGAAGAGCGTGACAAGAAGGTCGAGGGAGGTCATCCTCCCCCTTTACTCTGCCCTGGTGAGGCCACATCTGGAGCACTGGGTCCAGTTCTGGGCTCCCCAGTTCAAGAAGGACGGGGAACTGTTGGAGAGGGGACAGCAGAGGACCACAAAGGTGAATGAGGGGCCTGGAGCATCTCCCTTATGAGAAGAGGCTGAGGGACTTGGGTCTTTTTAGCCTCCAGTAGAGAAGGCTGAGGGGGGAGCTGATCAATGCTTATAAATACTTCAAGGGTGGGTGTCAGGAGGATGGGGCTGGTCTTTTTTCAGTGGTGCCCAGGGACAGGACAAGAGGGAATGGGCAGAAACTGGAACATAGGAAGTTCCATCTGAACATGAGGAGGAACTTCTTTCCTGTGAGAGTGGCAGAGCCCTGGCAGAGGCTGCCCAGAGAGGTGGTGGAGTCTCCTTCTCTAGAGATATTTAACCCCACCTGGACACGTTCCTGTGCAATCTGCTCTGGGTGGACCTGCTCTGGCAGGGGGTTGGACTAGATCATCTCCAGAGGGCCTTTCCAACCCCATATCACTCTGTGATTCTGTAACTCAAAGCAGGCAAGCTTGAAGGACCAGAGCTTTTTTTCTGCTCTATTATCTCGGTCAAGAGACGCAGAGAACTCCTGCTTCTTTCTTTTGAAGATGGGCCCTCATTTTTTCTTGAGAGGTGCCTGCAAGTCTCCTTTTTAAGCTTCAGCTAGATGCACATTTCTGGTTGAGCCCTAATACTGCAAACTGCTTTCCTAAAACAGCTTCCTGAGTTGGTCCTGATGTTGGGGAGGGGGGCTCCCTTAAGACCAGGGGAATTCAACTTCCCAGTCAAGCAGCAGGATAAGGGCAGAGCTTGAGTTAAAAACTTCCTGCTACAAGCTTGGATGGCTGCCAGCTTCTAGATTTTTAAAGAGGATGTGGGAAAGATTATCACAACTGCTCCTGTAAGACCAACCAATTCTCTTAATTTATCTTCTAAAAGGATATAAAAAGGGCTGTGGTCCTGTTCAACGCGCAGGTCCACCGGTGTCTCCAAGTGCTGTGAGTCCAGAGATAAGCCTGGTTGGAGGCAGGTGGTGAGAGATGAGGAAATGGAGCTGACAAAAGCACTGAAGTGAACCCAGCTGGCCTGGCTTCGGGGTATGTCCTCTTAGCTCCATGGCACGGTGTGTGCCTGGTGTCATTCAGACAGCCCCAGCTCCTGCCTTACAAGAAAAGACATAGACCTGTTGGAGCAGGTCCAGAGGA